TCGCGGCACCAGCGAAATCATTATCTCCATCTGTGTGTGTGTGTTGGGGGCAATATTCGTATACGAATGCCCCCATCTCTAATCTAAACCTGTAAGTGCAGTCCAAGGTTTGTGTAACTTGCCACAGCTAATGGACAAGGTGCTGGTGCAACACAACTGAGATGTGACTCAGGATCTTGTTAATTAGCTATGATTAGTTATGGCACATTACACTAAACCTTATGTTAGCACAGATAAGATTCTGTCTGCATTTTTAACTTTAATTGACTTCATTGATTTAGGAAGTCTTCACTCAGACTAAGCACATTCTGGTTTCCAACCATCAATGAAACATGTACTTAAGCCAGGAGGTACTTAGTTTGAGTAAAGACTTATTGCATCAATCAAGTCAATCAAGATAAAAAAATATATAAATTTTTAGATAAAAATACAGTGGTGCCTCGCACAAAAGTCAATCGAGATAAAATATATATATAAAGTTTTAGATAAAAATAAATGCTGTCAAAAGAGTTAACCACTAAACTGATTTAAACAAGTTGTTATAGGGTTAACATTGCTGACCATCAGACAGGAAACTGGCTGGGAGCCTCATAGCCACTTTCGCAGCAGCAGATTGGGCCACCACTTTTTCTTCCTTTTTTTTTTTAATTTGAGAGGGAGATAAAATATATATATAAAGTTTTAGATAAAAATAAATGCTGTCAAAAGAGTTAACCACTAAACTGATTTAAACAAGTTGTTATAGGGTTAACATTGCTGACCATCAGACAGGAAACTGGCTGGGAGCCTCATAGCCACTTTCGCAGCAGCAGATTGGGCCACCACTTTTTCTTCCTTTTTTTTTTTAATTTGAGAGGTCATATTTGGGAAGTGGTCCTCAGGATCCAAGCCAAATTGGAATTTGGCCTCCAGTCTGGGGAAGACTGCTCCCCTCTGATGTACATTATTTTTTGTTATGGAGGTTTCCGTATTCAAAACCAAATCAAATCAGTTGCTCTCCCATCAGATATTCAATCGGACCCATGAAATATGCATAATGGGAGAGAAGGGATCTGCTCTGCACTTGAGGGCTGGCCCTTGAAAATTTCTCATCAAGCCAAAGACAGATCAATTTCCACTGAAGCTTACCCCAGACAGCCATGAAGATTGCAAAGATAACGGTCCCTTCATTGTCAAGCAAATGGGTAACCTATATGGGTAAAAGGAAAGCAGAGCAATAACAGTCAGGGCCTCAGGGGGAGCCCTGCTGCCAAAAAAAAGAAAGTCCCTGGGAGTGCTGCGGGGGTGGGGGGTGGGGGGGGACAAGTGTTTAGCACAGTCCTCTTCACCAGAAACTTGCATTCATTGGAGATGAGTGGGGGGAATAAAATGGCCCAAGTGGTGTAGTGAATACTTTCTTCCTTTGGTCGTGGACAGTGCAGAAGCAATAAGGACACCCCCAAGGGACAAACAAATATAGCTATTGGTGGGTGGGTGGGTGTGAGAGAGGAAGGTATTCTTACCTTGGCATACATGCAAGTATCTGAGAGTGGCCAAAATGGGCACTTCTGGTCACAAAGGGGACACATGATGGTAGTGTTGGCTGCACAGATCTCTTTGCTAGATCAGGAAGGACAGCAAAGTGCACATCATTAATCCTACTCAACCAAAAGACAAAGGAAGTGCTGGAAGCAGAGTAAATATGCTCACAGGCAGGCAGACACCCACCCCAACAACCACATCTACTGCCTCCCACCACCGAAATCTCTACCTTTACCTTCCAGTCTACCTTGTGAGTGGACCATCTTATCGTATAAGGATGTGCACTGCCCCACTTACTGGGTCTGTACACAGATCGATGCCCAACACACATTGTATTATTTTGAAGGCACTTGGACCTGATCCTCGTATGGGTGATGGCGTTTTGTGTTGCTGGTTCTCTGTGAGTAGCCACCTTCTCACGAATGGGAAAGCAAAACAGGCCACACCATGCACTGAATGGCAAAAGGCAGGACCGAAGGGTTTCCAGCCAAGGCAGTGGCAGTTACAGAGCAGGGTGCTCCATTTTATCTTTATTTCTCCCCTTTTTTTTCCTGTCTGCCAGGAGAAAGGCCCGAGTCACCTCCTAAGGCTATGCCAGGGAAGAGAGTGAGGAAAAGGCTTTAAAAATCAGTGGGCATGCTCCTTTTGGACTCCTTTTTAGGAAGGCAATGCGGGGATCCTGTTTTCTTCTAACCTTTCTATCTTTCACTTCCACCTGGGTCTGAAATAAATAGTACTGTGGCCACAGTATAGACTTCAGTGATTTGTTTTGTGGTTGGAAACACAAGGAAGATTCATTTCTAAGGGAAAGAACATACATTTTCTTTTCTGTTGCCAGCAACTGATGGTTTTCCTTAGTTTTTTTCTTTTTCTCCACATCTAATCACAATGCATGAATGCTAAACTTAACATGTGGGATCCATGGCAGAGGGTGCCACTTCACCCTGTTAACGTTCCGGGCTCTTGGCTCCATCTTATGCTGTTACCCCGAAAATGCACAAATACCTCCGATTTTATTCCTATTTATACATTTGGCTCCAAAACAGTGCACATCCCTAATACCAAGCAAAAGCTTAGCCTTGGATCTGCAGCAACTTAACACGACAGTAGGAATTGCCGAGCAGCTGGATTTCAGCCCAGAGTTTACTCAACTTTGTTTCCAACTTTTTAGTGCTCCAATAAAGCTGTAATTCTGCTTGGACAGATGGATCACCAGGCTACTTTTTTACTTTATTGTTGCTGCTGCTGCTGTTGTTGAAAACACCAAGAATAAGCCACCTGGGGCAAAGTGTACTGACAGAAGAAGACGTATTTCCATGAGGAAGATGTCATACCATATCATCCACCTACCGGATATGGCTCCCAGTCTGGCTTTCACTGAGCATTCTACCTAGTGTAACCCCTAACTTTTATCTTGTATTTTGCTGACCTTTAGACAGCGTCTCTCTCACTATGTATTTCTTGCCCAACCCTCAAAAAAGGCCAACTGTGCACATCACCCAAGGCAATGGATAGATTTACCAGGGGGTGGGGGGCAGACAGCCTTTGCTCTGCATATAGAGAAGAGACAGTAAAATTTAACGCCTGTCTCTTGAATGAAATTGCTAGTTCCTGTTACCTTGTCAGCAGTCTGTATTAAGGAACAATGGGCATAATCCCCATCACCAACATTTCATCCCATCATACCTGCTGAACCTGAAAGCTTGCCTTATTTGTGAATCATTATTTTTTTTGTGATCCCCATAAAACTATGAGCCATGAATTAAATGAAACAGCTACAGCAAGGAGATCGGAACCACATTTTGATTTCTATATTTAAAAAGGGGGGGGGGAATGTTTTAGCTCTCTAGATAGGAGGGGATTGTGAGAGTTGTAGACCAAACCGTCTGGAGGGCCAGAAGTTCGCATGCCCTCATTTTTATCTTGCCTTCATGGCTTCAGGACAGGGTATGTGTGCCTCCCTGCTGGTGTCAAATCAGGCACAGACCCAAAACTATGCCTGCTTAATTTCAGCAAGGTTGCTAGATCATTCTTTGGCAAAAGGCAGATGGACGATCCTGCTGAAATCTCATAAGCAGGAACAGCAAGCAGTCTTGCAAACTGCTCACATACAAGCCTCATAAACAACAGAACAGTCATACGAGGGACAGATCAGGCGGAGTAACCTGAAAAGCATTTATTTTTATGGCACAAGATTACTTTGTTTTGTAGGTTGCTATGCTTTTCAGAGTCGTACCATTCTTTCACCACAGTATGTAAACAGTCACGTATGTCTTGCACATCCCTCACAAACTGACTGAGTAAAGTTTATTTTGAAAGTATGGTTACTCACCTGATCTGACTGCTACTGAAGTTGAGGAACCCATACACGAAAAGAATAACGCCTGGCACAGCTGCTATGAACAGGATCCGAGTGTACCAACCCAGCCATGCAAAATAAAGAGCAATTTTCTCCCCAAAATATTCCCTGAAAAGGGAAACACTAAAAGTGAAAATGATTCTCCAGAGAGCAAGCCTTTCCTAGAATCATCCCATTCCCAGCTGAAACAGACTGCTGGATTTGTCAAGCAAGGTGATATTACGAACATATCTCAGCAAATGTTTGCACCATCCTTTTGTTCTTCATGGGAGATTATGTAACTTTCAGAGCTTGGAAAAGTTGGGGTAGGCTGGGGTAGGACTACAACTCCCAGAATTCCCCTGGCCCTTCTGATTCCAACACAGCTGAGAGGCCCTGCAGCTGTAACTCACCTTTTAAAAAAAACATGTTAATGTCATTCACACATCAATTCATGTAGTCCATTCATCCTTGTTGTCCCCCAAAGTAGCTTTTCAGCCCCCGCCAACTCCTGATAGTTTGTTCCAGTTCAGAGAAGGAATAAATTAGGGATGACATTTATTTTATTTTATTTTAACTTCCTTCAAGATTTGATCTTGAAAGTTATATTGGCTAATAGTATGAAACACTTCCTGTGTTGGATTTGTGGATCACTGTTGGGATAAGAATTTTTTGCTTGATATTTCTCATACCTGATTTCCTCAATGGGTTGTTCACAAAGTATGTCTCTCCACCGAGCCCAGTTTATTTTCAGAAATCTGCCCAGATTTTCTCTCTGGATGTTATAAGAAAGGTTACAAATGTTACAACCCTTAACAGACTATATATTCCCAAAACCATTTCTCCTGGCCTGAGCACCAAGAAGGGGCTGTTGAGGAGAAATACTAGTGTGTATACCACGCCATATGTTATCATTTACAACTTTATTTTCTGTTCCATTTAGTTTAGCCTCCTCCCATGACCCCCTGAATGGAGGGTTCCTTCCTGGCTCAAAGATCAGCTTTTAATGGGAAAGTAGGGAAAGACAGGCTCCAACTTCCTACCACTTCTAGTTTTGACCCTCTGAGATCTTTCTTACCTCATGTAAAGGAAATGCTGTTTCAAAGACTTTCTTCTTTACCAAGTCTGGAAATTTCTCTAAGAGCAAAGCAGAAATGGAAAAGATCAAGACAAAAAGACGCAGCGCTTCCAACCCTCTTTTAAAGCTTTAACACCCAAGGCCTGGTTTAAACTGGACACTGGCTTTCCAGCTAGCCTAAAATGAAGCAGTAAAAGTGAAGCTCTCACAGCAATATCTGCATCTCTGAAGGGGAACAGGTCAATGGTACCCAACTGTGAATTAAAGGTGGCTCTTCCCTGGTTTATTCCTGCACTTATTCCAAGCAGTTTTAGCTTGATACCTACTGTGTGAGATCAGTCCAGGTCTTCAAAAATTTAATCTTCTGAATTACAATTCCCAAGATTCTTTAGCTAGTATGTGTACAAACATGCATTACTTTACTATTACTGTATACCAAATCCACTAGTTACTGGTTATGCTTCTCAATGCAACTCAAGTACCGATCAGTACAGTACATCTAAAGCCCCAAATGGGGATTTGGGGCGAAAGAAGGCTGAGGAAGAACCAGTGGCCATCTGCATGTTGTTGCCCTATTCTGTTCCATCAGTCTGGACAATTAGCTATGTTATCTAGGGCTAAGAAGAGCCCGTAGCATCAGCAGAGTGTCAGACTTGGGAATTATGCCTTAAACATGATGGCACATTCCTATACAATTTAATTAGGCTCGCCCTCTGCATTCATTTGGAGAGGCTTTCCTACATTCGCTGCCTTTAGGTGAATTGGAAGGAAAAGGACAACATTCTAGAGCAGTGCAAGAAGATGTAAGAGTTTATATGAATTTAGCCATTTAAATGTACTGTAAGTACTTTCTGTGCATAGCTTTTAAAAGTATATTGTGAATTGGGCAGTTCAGAGTGGAAATCTGAACCAGGGCTTTTCAAGCACAAACTTCCCACTGCAGCCCATCTACCTCATATGCCCATTTCAAAATAAATACAGAACCAAATAACAACAACAAAACTCACAACAAATGCAAGGACCTGGACACAGTGAATGTCTTTCTAAGCAAGATTTGTATAAGAAAACTGCATTCATGTCCAGACTTGTACTTGCAGGATGGCTACTGGAAATCACTAGGGAAAAGTTTGCTGACTTCATTTCATTTGCACACCACCTTTCTCCTGGTGAAGGGACCTAAGTAGCTCACAAGCAGCTAAAACACAAAGGCAGTTAAAGCCACAGTAAGTTACGTAGAAGATTAAGCATAAGTTAAATATATAATATTTAAAGGACCAGTAATTTTAAAACATTTTACAAATACATCCTGTAAATTCAGTAAGCATACACAGCACTCCAAAGTATGACTCTTTATTGTGGAGTCTTACTGCATTATATAAATAAATGATCTTTTCATACCCTTCGTACTAGGAATTTCTGTGTTCCTCAGGATAAAACTGACAATACGTATCCTAAAACATACAAGAACTGAGTATGAGACATTAAAGAAAGGATTCTTTAAGGGTAGGAAACAATAAGCACAATTTTTTTCATCCATGTCATGAAAGGATTGCTCACTAGTATGTAGATATTAAAAGTATAGGTCCTTTGAAGAGCTGCAACCCAATTTTTTTCTGCCCATGCAATGGAAGAAAAGGAAGAACTTGCACAACTAGCAAGGATGGGATGAGCGTTAATGTCCCACAGAAGTCTATGGCCTTTGAAGGAATTCATCTACAGCAGGGATGGACAAGCTCATGGGTCTGGAGGCCATTTTTCCAGGCTCAGGAGCGTCATGAGTCCCTTTAAGTTCAACCACAAATGAACAGAAGGTCTCTGCTGATTTGGAAAAAAAAAGAATAAGTTTGAGAAATCCAAATGTATTAAAACAAGAAAGATGAGGGACACATCTTGTTTTGTAAAACTGTACCCCCTGGAGGCATATATTTTTTAAAAATATAAACATTTAAAATTGAGGGGAAGGAAATGGGCTGATTTAAGGCAAGCAGGGGAGGCTGAAGGATGTATGTCTAGCATCATAGTCAAGGAAGAACTACAATAGTTTGGCTCCCTTGAAAACCTGGAGATGTCCTTCCTGAATGTTCATATTTTGCAAAGAGCAAGAGTCTAGCTCCCTTTCCTTATGTCTCTTTAAATAAAAGAATGTAGGCAGCTTTCTCCAGCTTCCTTCGCCCAGCTTCTAGCATTCTGGTTAGCAAGAGCAAAGGTATTGTTGTGATTAACAGAAACTAGCACATCTGGCTTTAAATTTATAGCCAACCTGAACACCTTTCAACAAAGAACACCATTTATGAGACTTCTGCTATTTTACACATGTTTCCAAAACCAATATGTCCTTATCTTCCCCATCCAACTACAGTACAAGATTTTAAATAAAATGTGCATTTACAACACTTCTCTTCATGATGATACCGACCAATTCCCCCTTATCATTTACAGTTGTGGAGAGTGAGACTTTTTGAACCATGTGGTTAGTGGCTCCACACAAATTCTAGGCTATGTGACTGCAGCAGCTACATTTAAAGTGGATTTTGAAAAAGGTTTAAAACACAGCACCAGAAAGTTTGGGAAGTGGGGGATGAGATTGTCTTTTTACCTTGTTGTTGAAACATGCGCTCTGGGATATTCAGCTAGCTGAGGTGCACACAGAACGTCTGGTTCATTATCAGGATTACTCAGAAGCCACTGGTATTTTCGGAAGAAACCACTTGGGGCATGAATTCCATGAAAGACCTTTTTATCCTCAATCGTCTAAGAATTAGACATAACAAGGAGACTAAAGCAGAATAAAGTGAAGAGAATCATTCTACATTAACTAGGAGGAGGACTGGACAGAAAACTTCCTGTTGAGGGAACCACATGCCCCAGGGCAGCCCTGGAGACCTTGTGGTCTTCTGAAGTTCTCGGACTGCAACTTCCATCAGTTCTGGCCAGCACACTTAGAGAGCCAACCAGAGTTGCAGTCTAACAATTTCTGCAGGGCTGCCCTTTGCTCACCCTGGCATTAGGGAAATAAGGAGAGGGCTCTTCCTCATCTCCACCTTCCACAATCCCTTCAAATCTGCTCCAGTGGGTGGGGAAGGAGCAAATTGGAGGCAAAGAGAAGTCCTGTTGAGTTCAGGAGACTTCTGCTCACATAACATTGTCTCCAACCAAGACTCTTAACCAAATCATAATCAAGCATGAGTGACAATCCTATATTTCAATTTAGTTAGAATCCTTTCGGTTAATTATACCATCATTGCAGTGGACCCTCGACTTACAGACGGCTCGACTTACAGACTTTTCGAGTTACAGACTTCTCTGGCCGCAAAATTTAGGTTCCACTTGCAGCCAGAGAATCAACCTACAGACCAGAAAAAAACCAAAATGGAACAAAAATGGCCAGTTACAGGATTAATCGGTTTTCAATGCATTGTAGGTCAATGGAGACTCGACCTACAGACTTTTTGACCTGCAGCCACCGTTCCAATACAGATTAATTCCGTAAGTAGAGGGTCCACTGTAGTTAAATGGTATGAATTGCAGTGGCAAGCTGGCAGTAGTTAATAAGCTGTTGCTTGAATTGTAACACAACTCATGGAACTGATGCCACTTGGATCCCTTATTGCGCAACTTGTTAAGTAGCAGCAATTCACTGATGAAATTGACATTGCACTGAGGTCAGTCGAACTAATCAGAAGGATTCTGGCTGAATATCTGGCTGATATCTGAAAAAGATGGGTAGTCTAGGAGCAACCAAATGTCCACTGGATGGAAAATGTTTTGCAATATTTAATTTTTGATTGTCATAGTTTCACAACTGCCTGTTGCAAAAGTGATGCATTAGTGCTCTCAAGGAAGGGCCTGTTCCTTAAGACACATGCTAAACTATATCCTCCATGCATCATGCTGAGAAAGGCCATCAACACTCACCCCCATCCCCATCTGGCAGCCAAGGAGGAACCCAAGTACCTATTGCCAGTTTTGTGTGGGGCTTCATCATTCTCACCTTGATAATGAACCCTTTCCTGTGCAGTTCTTCCAGAAACCGCCTCTTCTTTTGACCCTTCTCACTGTATGGGCTGTGATTGTCACTGACTAGGACAAAATCCCATTTGGTTGGGAACTGCTGAGGAAAAACAACCAAGAGAATTTGCTGGCAGGTTGTCATCAATAAAATCTCTCCTTTTCACAGATATACATACATTGCATATACACACAAACTTTCCCTTTTAGGTTACATTAGAAAAACACCTGATAAAAGACAAAAATGGGAGGGACCTAACAGAAACAGAAGACATCAAGAAGAGGTGGCAAGAATACACAGAGGAATTATTTCAGAAAGATTTGGATATCCCGGACAACCCAGACAATGTAGTTGCTGACCTTGAGCCAGACATCCTGGAGAGTGAAGTCAAGTGGGCCTTAGAAAGCCTGGCTAACAACAAGGCTAGTGGAGGTGATGACATGCCAGTTGAACTATTTAAAATCTTAAAAGATGATGCTGTGAAGGTGCTACATTCAATATGCCAGCAAGTTTGGAAAACGCAACAGTGGCCAGAGGACTGGAAAAGATCAGTCTACATCCCAAACCCAAAGAAGGGCAGTGCCAAAGAATGCTCCAACTACCGTACAATTGCACTCATTTCCCACGCTAGCAAGGTTATGCTCAAAATCCTACAAGGGAGGCTTCAGCAGTATGTGGCCCGAGAACTCCCAGAAATACAAGCTGGATTTCGAAGGGGCACAGGAACTAGAGACCAAATTGCTAACATGCGCTGGATTATGGAGAAAGCCAGAGAGTTCCAGAAAAATATCTCCTTCTGCTTCATTGACTATGCAAAAGCCTTTGACTGTGTGGACCACAGCAAACTATGGCAAGTCCTTAAAGAAATGGGAGTGCCTGACCACCTTATCTATCTACAGTACTGAGAAACCTATATGTGGGACAGGAAGCAACAGTTAGAACTGGATATGGAACAACTGATTGGTTCAAAATTGGGAAAGGAGTACGACAAGGCTGTACATTGTCCCCCTGCTTATTCAACTTATATGCAGAATACATCATGCAGAAGGTTGGACTGGAGGAATCTCAAACTGGAATTAAGATTGCCGGAAGAAATATCAACAACCTCCAATGTGCAGATGATACCACTCTGATAGCAGAAAGTGAGGAGGAATTAAGGAACCTTGTAATGAGGGTGAAAGAGGAGAGTGCAAAAAACGGCCTGAAACTCAACATAAAAAAAAACTAAGATCATGGCCACTGGTCCCATCACCTCCTGGGAAATAGAAGGGGAAGATATGGAGGCAGTGACAGATTTTATTTTCTTGGGCTCCATGATCACTGCAGATGGAGACAGCAGCCATGAAATTAAAAGACGCCTGCTTCTTGGGAGGAAAGCGATGACAAACCTTGACAGCATCTTAAAAAGCAGAGACATCACCTTGCCAACAAAAGTCCGAATAGTCAAAGCTATGGTTTTTCCTGTCGTGATGTATGGAAGTGAGAATTGGACCATGAAGAAAGCTGACCGCCGAAGAATTGATGCCTTTGAATTGTGGTGCTGGAGGAGGCTCTTGAGAGTCCCCTGGACTGCAAGGAGAACAAACCTATCAATTCTAAAGGAAATCAACGCTGAGGGTTCACTGGAAGGACAGATCCTGAAGCTGAGGCTCCAGTACTTTGGCCATCGCATGAGAAGAGAAGACTCCCTGGGAAAGGCCCTGATGTTGGGAAAGTGTGAAGGCAAGAGCAGAAGGGGACAACAGAGGACGAGATGGCTGGACAGTGTCATAGAAGTGACCAACATGAATTTGACACAACTATGGGAGGCAGTAGAAGACAGGAGGGCCTGGTGTGCTTTGGTCCATGGGGTCACGAAGAGTCGGACACGACTAAATGAAACGGCAAGAAAAACACCTCCCACCCTCATCCCACAACAACCACTTTTAGGGTACTTTCCACCCAGGAGGCAGGAAAGAGCTTGCTCCAGTGAGACTGTCCTGCCTTTATCCCAAAGAGCTCTTCTAGAACTTAGAAAAGTTACTGTCTTTGATGCACATGCGCAAACAGTATAGAGACAAGGTTCTCCACCTGACCTCTTTCTTTCTATACTGTTTGCACATGCTTGTGACTTAATGGCCTTCTAGATCTCTCCCAACTTCTTTACACAGAAGATTTATACAATAATCCATTCTCCTCCCCTTTACTATATGTATGGCTTTTTTTAAACAGTCATTTGAATGGTCCTGTTTTTCAAATTCCATTTAGCTATATTTTATAACAATCAAGTTTCCCCACCACAGGTTTAATCTTGCTCTTACTGAACTATTCTCTTTATTAAACTAAACACCCACACACACTTTGGAATTGACTGTACTTCTGGCGGTGGGGGAGAGGTGTCGGCAAACAATTTCTATTGTTTCTTGCAGTGTTCTCTTTTTCATAAAATTTATCCTATGACAATGCAACTGAATACATGATCCTATTAAGTTACATTTGTCTTAATCCCAAAATGAGTATCTGATCACACAACCTGAATATTTTAAATTGGTCCTTTCCCTCAGTGTAGGCAAAGGTGACAATAGTTTCCCCTCAAATAACTTCCTTTTTTTTTGCACTCATTTCATTTCTCAAGTTTCTCCACTGTTCTTCTCCGAATGGAGCAATTTATTTGTGGGTTTTAATGGCCCAGTGTCTTCAGTTGTATAATGCTTTCCACAGTATTCCCTGTGTAAAAAGGTTGCCCCTTTCATTCAGTTAGGATTTTCTCCATATTAGGCTGATGGGTGTGTGTGTGGAATGATGAGATTGCCAGCTACTTGCTCCACAATCTTTCTTAATCTTACTTTTTTCATTCTTTGTACTGCTTCTATTATTTTAACACTACACTTTACCCTCTCATATAATTCTAATATCTCTTACAGAGTCAAGAACTATTCCACACAAGTAGACCTTGTCAAAACAACTGTAATTTTCAGCTACAACCGTCTGCCCATCACCTGTCTCTCACCACTTTCACCACTGTCAGGCTTCAAAACTGTTTATAACATTCTACTCTTATTACTTGTTGTTGTTGTTGCTATTAGTATGTGTCGTGGAGACGTTCAGGATTACAATACATACAATTTCCAATTCTTTCAGGAAGGTGTGGGAAGAGATATTGTAACTTACTCATTTAAATATACCACACATGCAAATAGTTCTTATTTCTAACCACAAGGTGTGATTAACAAATATACACACAAACACCATTCTGCTAAAGTAATAAAACTACTTTCAATTATGTGACTAGTCAATGATTTCAGAGCATATGATGTTACTTCACTGTTAATCAAACCTGCTTAGTTTAAAGAGCAGCCTACCTAGGAAATACTGTACATAAAAAGCAGAAATCACATAAACAACTATATAAGCAATATTCAGTTACAAACATTCTACAAAGTTATAATTAAAATCCCAGATTAATTTATGCAGAGCATATAACATTTTATATATTTTCCCAAGTAAATATATTTAAGTCCAAAATTTTACTAGCATTTTCTGTATGAATAAATATCACACATACTTTTAGCTTATGTTTCTTCCTATCCCCTATAAGCTTCATAATTTCTGGTTTTTGCCACCAGTCCTCCTCCTCCTGCAGCTGCTTAGAGGAAATTCATCATTAGGGAATGAGAGTGTGTTCACAGGCTTAATTACAAGACTACTCCAACTAACCTTGGGGGTGGGGGAGGGAGGTACTCTTACATGTGAACCTGAGCACCTGTTAAGGGCTTCAACACAGACTCTGTTCCTAAATCTCATCACTGGAGGTAAGATAATTTTCCATATATATAGCAGTGTCAGTTTTTACTGCTAACTATGGAATAAGAGCCTTCAAAAAGAGTTCAAATAAATTATTTCTGGCCTTTAAAAAAGCTTTAAAATGCATCTGTTAATATAAGTTATGTTTAGATGGTGTAAGTTGATATGAAAGCAAGATATAAACACTACTTAGAAGCTGCATTAAAAAACAAACATCCTGAGTTCAATTCAAGTAACTGATATGGCAAATTTAACAATTCTGTCTCTTGAATGACTTTAGTGGCATGTTGGCATGCTGGTATATATTCAGATTAAATGAACTGAAATATTATATAGATGGGCTAGTTCAGGAATTTGCATAGAAGATACTACTGAAGACTTACTGTAGTGAACAGAATTACATAAACAGAACGGATGTTATATATTCAGCAATGAGGATAGCAGTCTTTCACTGTGTAGCTGAGAAAATACTAGCCGTTCTACATAAAAGAGCCATACAGACCTTGGGGTTCCATTTTGTCTATGACTAGAGTAAAGACTGGTAGTTGATCTTCTGGATGACAACTCCAACAATCCCTCATTCAGACTGGCCACTGGCCACATTAGCTGAAGGACTCTGGGAGTTATGGTCCAAAAAGAAAAAAAAGGGAGGTTTCCAAAATTACTCTGGACTATGGCAATCTCAGCTTGGGTTTTTAAAAGCTCCAGCTCAAAACAAAACAAAACATGTGCAACTTACTGGGATCAAAGGCTCACAATCTTCTAATGAGGATAGAGGCATCAGTGCAATTTCGTCCTAGAGAAAGAGATTTCAAGAGGTCAAACGTGGATTTTGTTTTATGATATGGAATAATCAAATGTATCAGATTTTTGATCTAATGTAGTCCACAAACAACATTGACAACATACTTTTTTTAACCAGCCTTGATCTTATATATTCAACTTTTGCATGTCTGGCTGTAATTAAGCAGGTACAGATGGTTTATGTCCACGCAAGAAAGCTTCTTCACCTAAAGGGCTGGTCAAAGCCAACAAAAATGCTGGCACTCCTAATATGACACTGAGCTCATAACAGAAGCAAGGAGAAGCTGGCTGGAGACTGATACTAGACTTGTATTTTAAAAATTAGAATACTGAAGGCAATTTGAAAGAAGAATAACTCTGCATAGTGTATAGGGTTACCATTGTTCCGTTCTCCAAATCCCGGCAGCTTAGTTTTTGCATTTTGCAAACCTGAAATATTATGCAAACTGGATACCATTATTGTTTTAGCCTTAGCACCATTCATACAAAGTGAACATTGATCAGAGAGAGCCACTATAGCATGGCATGTCTAAGGAAGTGGATTTTGATCCATCTTTAAGCTCTGTTTCTGACCATTCTCAAGGGCAAAACCTCAAGATGACTACCTTTGTGTTACACATACTGGCCATTGTAGTTTCCTTCAGTGTTTTTTGCAAAACAAATACAGTATATGGATGGCATGTGCTTGTTGTTTTCAGGATTGTGAGCTCAGTTGGTTCAGAGTGGTAGGGTGATAAAGTTAAAGATTAACAAGGCGAAGATGATAATATACTTGCTCACCATAACATTATCACTTTATCAACAACATTCTACAAATAACTTTTCCGACCATAGAAATACAGATGTACCCAGTTTAACAGACCTCTTTTTTTTTTCTGGAGTATTTCCTGCCTGTTTTGTGGATAAGGGCCAAATCCTGCTCATGTTTATTAATTCACACATACAGTTAAGTACTGTACTGGAAAAACTACTGTAAGCTACTGAGGGTGTGATCAGAAGGTGCTTTACCCTTGCTTTTGGACTGCTTTGGTGCAGGCTGGTACATGATATTCTGGCAATTATGAACCAGCCTGACCCTTCCCCGTGTCTATCCACACCTTTTTGGGTCCTTGGCAAGGGCTACTGTTCTTTGAGTGCTAGCAGGATTGCTCCATTTTGGTTCGCTTTCCAGCATGTGCGATGACTGAGATCATAACATACTGCTACCATGTTATGCGTAGCAGTATGCCACTTATCAATAATGCCCACACACACAAAGAAAGACAAAGAAGGAAACCCAGAATTTTTCTGCTTTCCCCACAGATGGGGAGACAGAAGAGGATGGAGAGGGGGATCTTTTGCTGTTGTTCCTTTAAAGATCTTAAAAGTCTCGAAACCCTTTAGTTAAAAGTTTTTAAGCTGCTTGTTTGCCTGAGTCTGTGATGAAAATCCCTTTTGGGCTTCCGGAAGTGATCCATTACTAGTCCTCCCCAAAGGCATATGCGAGCTCCAAAAAACGCTTTTATGTCTCAGATGATTTAAGTCCAGTTCATGGGATTTCAAGATAGCACTGGCCTGGCTAAAATGCTCAAACTGGCGCTCCAACGGATCCTGTTTGTTGATGAAAATGTTCCTCTCCAGGGCTGTCTCATGTTGACCGTATTCCTCTTGGACTTGGAATCAGGTGTCGCACGTCTGTCTTTTGGGTCCGGCATCACCAAGTTCCTCCTTCTCCAGTGACTCTTGAGGGAGGCCTCTCCCCTGGCTGGGTTTCTTGGTACAGATTTGGGTTCCTTAATAGAGCCTGGTGGCAAACTGGTTCACTGGCATGTCACTTACCAACAACAATTAATACATACATATACATAGGGTGTTTTTTTTAAAATGTACTTTCTCCCACTTCCAACAGAAGAGGAGGCAGGAGAGGGTGTGGGAGCTAAAAAGGGCCACTTTGAGGTACAGTGTAATTTCCTGCTTTGAAACCACCTGATCCCTTGCATGTGTGTGGATGCAAGGACTGCCCCAAATGGCATGCTGCCCTTCAAAGTGACACTGTTTAGGATTGTGAGCAAGTAGATGGTCCACCTTGGGATAACTGGACCCTCTAGTTGTGCCCTGAATTTGTACAGGTCTTTTTTAAAAGTAAGGCTAATCAGCTGTGGCATGGGTTTTCTGGAAGAAGTAGAACTGCAATATTTTCCGACACTCTAAATAATATTATCTGATTTGGTGTGTTTCTTTGACTCAAAGGCCAAAGCTATGCTGTCAATTGCATATAGGTTGTACAACTCTGTATGCAACCAATAATGTCTACGGTGACATCTTAAATTGGGGTAATTCACCTCCAAATTTAAGCCATTTGTGTTATGCTAGCATATTTAAATAAAAGGATTTGGACAAAAGTATCTCATAATTGGGAAAGAGAAGAATAAAAAAAATTATTCCATGCCAATGTTATCTGCAGTACAAACATATCAAAAGTTCATCCAACGGCTACAAAATATTTGAACTGAAATATTTCCTTAGAGGGAAATTAGATTAACCATACAAGGTAGTTTAAATATTATATTCAAATACATTCGAAGTTTTAAGCGGAAATTATTTTATTGGAGTACTTGTAAAAATGTAAAGGCAACAGTATTTGCTTCCCTTATATTTCACAATGATTACACAGTATATATCTGAATGGGCAGAGAAATGTAAGAACTGCTTTGCAGAATCATCCTGTCTTTCTTCCAACAGGAGGGAGAGGAGGACATTCAAATGTGGCTGCAGGATATCTTTGGATATCCATGATGGGAAACCCCATGTTCTGATGTTCTGATGAGATCCTCCCTTCTCTGAGCAGCAGATCACCTTCCTTTCAAGGGAGAGGGTTGGAGGCTCCCAGCACATTTGGAGTGCTAAATTTTGCCAATATATAAGAAATTATTCCAAGGATGTAGCAAACCCACACCACCTTCACACCAACATCAGTTAAACGGAACAGCAGGTCTCCAGAAACTCACACTACTACTTCTCCAGGTCCATCTCTAAAACATAGCAGTGCTTCCTCGAGAAGTGCAGGCCTTGAATTTTGGACTACAGTTCCCAGAATTCTCCAAGTGACATGGCTGAATCTATCTGGGCTGTTGCCCAAAAACTCAAACCTGTACACCACTAGTGCTTTCTCTTGCGCTGAGAACACACTTCAAACTACTGTACCTTCTAAAGCTTTCTCTTGGCATGCATATCATTTCACAACCTTCTTCCATCTAGCAACAGAGAGGACCACCTTTTGACTTTCAGACATAGTTGGATTGCAATTCCCAGTACTGTACAATATTTCTCATCTGGGATAACTTGGTAGTTTAAGTCTCTTGCTGAGGAACCAGAGGTCCAGAATTTGATTCGCCACTGTGGCTCCCTGACCAGGGCTGGATACAATGATCCATAGGGTCTCTTCCAGCTTTGCAGTTCTAAGATGATGATGGTATTTGGAGGACTTTGTCCACTCCTGGCCTAGGAAATAGGATGAACTATCCATCTGAATCAGGGGTGGTCAAAAGGCAGTCCACCAGATGTTGATAGGTTGTGATTCCTAGCAACCATCACTAGCATGGGGAAAATGGGGAAGAACCAGACTGTCTGCAGGAATGTTGTTTTTTTTGGGGAGAGGGCGGCTGCACAGTGGTATATTCAGCATAATTTGTGTATGTAATGCGCATCATGACACCATCATGTATATCTGCATACAATAAGTATATTTAAGAATGGGGGCAAGCAACCACTTCTGCTCTCCTGCCAACACCCATGATGAGGAATGCTACCAGTTCCAGTATTAAAACATCTGAACCATCACACTGGGCACACATCCAACCTACAACTGTCAATCAATTCCCCATTCACTTGATCTGCATGCAAATTCAAACCTACACACAAAATATATTTACTGTACACATAAAACTGCCACAGTTTCCCTTTGGGACATTGTACCAGCTACCCTGTGATACTTACTTCCCACTTACTTCCCAGCCAGATAACTGTAATGTTCTCACAAAAGTGGCAGGAAACTTCAACAGGTCCAAAATGCAGCAGCCAGATTGCTGACTGGGGCTGGTTACAGGGATCACATAACTCCCTGTTACAGCACAATTCAAAGTGCTGGTTTTATCCCATAAAGCCCTAAATGGCCTGGGTCCACACTATCTCAATTATTGTATCTCCCATTATAAGGCAGCTTGGGTGTTAAGACCATCAGGAGAGGCATTTCTTTTGGTCCCACCGGGGAGAGATTTCTCTGTTGCTGCTCCTAGACTTTGGGACTCCCTCCCACAGGAGATCAGACTGGGACCATTTTTGCTATCCTTCTGCAAGCAGGCAAAGACCTTTCTCTTCAGGCAAGCCTTCCCTCAGTAAATCAGCTACCTGGTTTTTATATAGATCGTTATGCATTACTGCTTTGATTTGGGGAGAGATTTCTCTGTTCCTGCTCCTAGACTTTGGGACTCCCTCCCACAGGAGATCAGACTGGGACCATTTTTGCTATCCTTCTGCAAGCAGGCAAAGACCTTTCTCTTCAGGCAAGCCTTCCCTCAGTAAATCAGCTACCTGGTTTTTATATAGATCGTTATGCATTACTGCTTTGATTGGATTTTTAGTACCGTTTGCGAAGATCCTCCATAGGGCGGCCTTTTTCCGGTGCTTGTAAAGTGAGGAATCCGTCCTAAAGCACAATGGAGAGCCATTTTGCATAGCGGGCAGCCATTTTAGAACCGCCAATCAGCTGTTTTAAAATCATCATCTAGTGAAAAATCGTTTCCCAAAGCAGGGAACTGATCATCGTTAAGCGAATTTTCCCCATAGGAACATCATTTTGCGATCGCGGTAGCGATCGCAAAAACTTCATTGTAAAGCGATTTCGTTATGTAACGAGGTAATCGTTAAGCGAGGCACCACTGTAGTTGTTTTCCTTTTTTTTGTTTTCCATTTCTCAGAATAGCTTTTTTGAATTGTATACTTATTGATCTTTGC